AAAATTCTACTATCTGATGATAATAAAAATTAACATACATGTAAAAACGCATACAATGAACATTTTGTTGCAATTTCCTTGATGTAACGGAAATAAGAGTCAGTCATTCTTGTAGTCGTAATAATTATTAGCAGGCCGCACGATCGAAAAGTATTCAATAATTAATTAAGCATCGATATTGGTCATAGAATACTTGCATGACAGACTGTTACTTGTAGAAAATATAGGGTTACTCGTAAAGGAAAATAAATTTATGAAAGCTAGTAGATAGATAAATTCTTTATTAATTACAGACACATAACATACATGAGATACAGAAAAAATAGATGAATTAATAAAAGAAATGTAGGTGACTTTATGTACAGCAAAATTGGAAGGAAAAAAAATTATGAAAGCTAGTAGATAGATAAATTCTTTATTCAACAATTACAGACACATAACATACATGAGATGCAGAAAAAACAGATGAATTAATAAAAGAAATGTAGGTGACTTTATGAGCCGCAGAGATGGAAGGAAAATAAATGTATGCAAGCTAGTAGATAGATAAATTCTTTATTCGACAATTACAGACACATAACATACATAAGATACAGAAGAAATAGATAAATGAATAAAAGAAATGTAGGTAACTTTATGTGCCGCAGAGGTGGAAGGAAAATAAATTTATGAAAGCTAGTAGATAGATAAATTCTTTATTCAACAATTACAGGCACATAACATACATGAGATACAGACAAAACAGATGAATTAATAAAATAAATGTAGGCGACTTTATGTGCCGCAAAGGTGGTAGTGTTTACTTAGTAGTAATATAGTACTTACTTATATTTATGATAAATGAAATGAAATGTTATTGCATAAAATATGGCACATTGGGTGTGGTATTATAATCATAAATTTTTGTTCCGTACATTTAACCATTTCTGACAAGCAACAGACAACTGTCTCTTTGAATTTGCTTATCTGATATTGGATACTATTATACATTTGATGATAAACATTGTTAAAATAATTATTTTTTTGTAGGATTACTACTTGGTAAGTTTTGAGTAATGAGGATAAAATATTAAGGAAGGTGTTACATATAAATGTGGATGGTTATAACGGTCGAGGAAGTCTGAAAAAGAGATGGATAGACTGTGTGAAAGATATGGTAAGAAAGGGAGTAAATAACGAGATGACTGCGAACAGAGATAAATGGAAGATAAAAACATATTATGTCGACCCCTAATAAATGGAATAAGAAAAAAGCAGATGATTGTATGTAATATCTTTTAATACTAATGTTACTAGTGATGAGATTAGTGTTATTTAATCATTATAATATTTGCGTATACTTCTTTTCATTCTTTCATATTAAAAAGAACAATTTTAGATTGCAATTTAAAAAAAAATATTACCAAACACTAACAAATATATTCATTTCATTACAGGAAACAATGTAGGAAAATGTAAAATTGGAAATGACACGTTTAAGAGACAATCTGGCAATCGTTAAAACGCTGAGAAATTATATATTAGTAAAACAGATGAGAAAATATTTTATTTATTTTTATTTATTATCTATAATGTTATATTACACAAACATGAAAATTAAATTAATTGAAACTTTAAATTTAAATTAATTTTTAATTTAATTAAATAAATTGATGGACCGCTTGGACTTCGCACTTGTGAATTTTATATATAAATACAGTAATAACGTAAGTATTGAATTAATATTACGTTATTTCTTTTCTTTCAATAATATACGGTTAGTCTTGTCTGTCTTAGTGTTCTGTGCTCTAGGAAACTATATAAGTTAGGTAAATAACAGTCGACTTTAATTTTCATGCATGAAGAGTCTCTGTTCCTATTATGACTTCCTAATTAGGTACCTACTTACAAGATAATTGACATTTATTATTGTCAGTTCTTCATTTTTTTTATATTAATTTTGAATCCTATGTGGGAGACCTATCGTCACAAATTTTTTTGATATTTTTAAATATATATTTTTAGAATATATTTTTATATGTCATATTATTTTGTACTTGAGATACATTGTAACTTAGATCGTTCGCAACATTATATATCATTCAGACACTTATACAGTACACCGATCAGTTACATCTATATTTTATATTCAATTACACAATTTATTATATATAACAACACAACTAATATATACATAATACATGCAGACATACATAAACTTAATAATATACATGTCCATGTAAAGTTTGAAGGAATGAAAGGATCAACAAGAAAAGGAAAATTAGAACTAAAGGAAAAGGAAATGAGATTTTACTGATGCTTTAAACTAGCTAACTAAATTTAGATACCGCACACCGAATAGGAGCAGGAAGCGAGTTCTACAACCTTACAGGCTGGACAGAAAAGTTTTTGAATAAAAGGAAGTGGAATGATTGTAAAATTTAAGACGGATTTTACTTCATTGCCGAAGAAAGGCGCATAATATATTTGTATAAAATAGAAAATAATATAAATAATCTTTGTTCATATAAACTTAATTTCTAACGTTTTAGCACACCGCTTTACTTCCGAGAATCGCGAATTCGATTGATCTCTCTCACGATGTAAATATTTGTATGCATAAGTATTATTATATATTATATTATTAGTATTTATTACTGTTAATGCGATAGTTCATGAGTTTCAATGATTACGGATGGTACGGTTTTAGAGAAGTTTTCTCCCAGATTTCCTTGAGATTTTTTCTATAGACTACAACATGGAGTTTTTCAAGACTATTATATATTAATATTTTTAAGAGCCAGCAAAGAACACGTGACTCCTATAGTATAGGCTACGGTAACTGTTTAATACCAGCGGCCAATATGCTTGATTTCATCGTTTTGGTATAAAAATAATCATAAGTGTATTCTACCTTTTAAACTGCAACACACCTTCCTACATTGCAGTTCAAAAGGTAGGTCAAATAAAAACAACAATAATAAATAAAATATTTAATAAAAGAACAAATAGGTAGATTGCTTTGTTTCTTGGGGAGTTATTTTTCTCAGCTTTGTTTACACCATGTGTTGACCCATATTTAACAATGGAATATACAATACATTTCACGTGAAACCTTAACATTACATGGCAGTTTTCATCTCGTCACCTATTTCATACCGTCTCGTCGTCTAATTCATGATTTTATTATATGTTATTAACAAGAAAATGAGGTTAAAGAGGAATATATTGTTATCTATAACTCTCTTGTTCTTTAAAGCCACGATTAGCATTTTCCATTTTTCATATGACGGCATCTGGACCATGGGCCGTATATATCATTCAGTTGACAAATTACCTTCTTTGCGTAGTTGGGTATTTTTATGGTTTTCACTAGCTTGCTATACGTTTTGCTCGATATATTATACAGGATATATACACGAATAGCATGAAGGTGGCGCTGTTGCGTGTTACAACAGTAGAATAAACGTTTCATTTCTTTTGTGAAGTAACGTTAGAAAATGTAGCTCTAGAACCGACTTCAAAGAGCATGATATTCTTTAATCAATTGAATTTTCTAATGTATTATTGATATCTTTTCTAATTGTAAACTTATGTTGTTCAAATAACAAGGTTTAGTTCAGGATCAATTAATAACAATGGAAATGTTTCTTGTTGAACTTCTAAAATTTACTAGCAACTAGTGTACCAACAACCCTAATGGTTAGAATATGCACCATTATTAAAAGTCATTCCATTTGGTGATAAAAGAAAATAATCAATGAATCTATTAAAAGTTGTGAATTTCAATAACGAATATTCAATTTTGAAAAGTTGCCATTACTTATCAGAAAAAAAGATGTTCACATTGATTGTGAAAGTTAGATTTAAAAATTCAACCAAAATTTTCTTTGGTAAAACTTTTTCTGCGTTTTAAATGAGTTTCAAATTTAAATATATTATGGTATTGTTATGTGTTATATAGCACAAATATATTTTCTTATTTATATCACTTTAGAATGTCATGCAATTACTTGATTGATGAGACAATTATTCAAACCATTATAATTAATACTTTACAACAAATTCCGTATAGGGCAGGTAAAATTTGTTTAGGAGTTTCGCGAAATTATCATTATATATATGTATCTAATTTGCATTACTTACAAGGTAACATGTTCAAGTTAAATTCTTGGAGCTGGCATGGAGACTGGAGTCCGAATTATCTTTATTATAAGAAACATCTTATTTGTTCGGGTATTTTATATTAGATCCTATAGTATATTCGACACGCATATTTTGTTACAAACTATGTACATATATACATAGCCATATCTCATAGATTCTATAGCTTGAGGATTCACCTCAAGATATAGAATCTATGAGATATGGCGATCTCGGAATATACGTTTTCATGATTTATTTTTTTAACCAACCATGTCTATTTCTATATTTTACATATTGTTATTTTCATTTATTAGTTAAAATAAATTTTGGTCCGCACATAAATATCAGATACTATACCTAGATCTCAGAAAACATTAAATTATTATTGATAACATTTAAATTTCTTATATATACTAAGAAGCTATTCGTTTTACACTTTGTTTTGAAGTCGTATATATATTTTTTATTCTCACTTCTAATTAATTAAAATTATGTTTCGATGTTTTCTTAGAAAATGCTAAAAAATTAATTACCATAAGATAATGTTGCCGACGCTACATTTGAAAGTAAAATATCTTTCTCCAAACCTATTAATGATTGCATACAGTGCGTATTGCGAGGTGTTTTTTCTTTAGCGTAACATTTCGTGATCAATACTCTATATTCTACTTTAAATGAGGGTGGCACGATAAGTTATTGATTGCAAATATTCCAACTGTAAAGAAAAGTGGTGTAGTGCAAATAAAATTGAATATGTACACATACGATGGCGTTGTAAAAAAATGCACACGCGGTCCGGCAGGAGCATCGCAGCGTGACCACGGATAAAAATCATGAACAGTCAGTGGAAATCCTCATTGACGAACTAACCACCGATGAGGGTGGTGTTGATAATAGAGCAGTGACCCACAAATGGATCGGTGACGACGTGTGCAATAGTGTTTGTGATAAAGACATTGAAGTGTTCAAAATGACTGCTCTATATCTGTTGATCGCTTTGATGCTAGGACATGCGGCAGCTGTGGTTGAATTAAGCTGTAGTGATAATGCTACGTGTATTGATAATATGACGAAGGAAATGTTCCGAAACCTGAGAGAACAGAAATCGGTGAAGCTCTTCGATTCATTTACGATCGAGCCTTTAGGTAGGAGGCAGGGGAGATCGAACGAAAGCCCGCTGTCGAAATTCCTAAGTAATCACGCATTCAGTTTTGATTGGGCTGATTTAACGTTTAGGGTGGCGAAACCTCAAGACAGGAGTGATGTTTTGGATTTAGAAGTCTTCGAAAGCAGATCTGCTAAAGGTCAGTATAGTCCTTTCATATTTTGAGTATATCTCAAAGCAACAGCGAGTATGCAAGACTAGAAAAAGTAGTAAGACTAAAAAACAATCGAATAGCAGTACAGTTGGGATCTCTTCTGTTCTAATATTGGCCTATTTTTGAATTGAATATAATGTAATTTGAAATGATGACATTTTAAATTGATCCTAGATAGATTACAATTATGAAATAATTAGAAATTCGTATGTCTGTATAGATATAACTAGAATTACTATTCAAAGTTATAGTAATTAAACTTACAAATAGAACATGTTGCCATAATTAAGTTACAAATTAATATAGTATCGCTCTCGGTTAAATCTTTAATAGCCTTTTTTAATATAAAGTCTAATTAGTGGTTACTTATTCATTTTAAATTAGTTCTACGCTGAGCTATTTCCCGTTTCACATTACTAGAACGTCAATAGCATGCTCGAGGAAAGAAATTAATTGAGTTACGTTTAATTAACTTAAGAAGCACTGAAAACTATTTCCAAAGTGCTTTAATGGCAGAATAATTAGCATACTTTTTATACTTTTTTCCATCAAAAGTGTTCATGAGAAAAATAATTCCAATTTTTTAACTGAAGTATGGAAGAAATCAATCCTTCAATAAACCACTATTATTGAGCAAAACAATATTTGCATCTTGACTAGGTCCCTCACTGGACATTGCTAGCTGAATAAGCACATGGCGAAATTAGGCTTTAGCGTAACATTAATTTGCAGATTTTGGCAAGCAGAAGAGGAAACGCCATTGCACATCCTATGTGGTTAAAGCCCTCTAATGCATACACGAAATATCTTCTTTAGAAAGTATATACTATATCCTGAGGAGATAAAAACCGTCGCTCTTAAGAATATCCTTCAGTTCTTGTCCCTCATGGGTCTAGGTTGGGAACTGTGAATAAGGGTGATCACAATAGATCTATATAGGTTGCAGTGCTACAGGTCTTAGCATCGGTCAATAGCCCCAATCCCCCTATAGAAAATGGAGGGAATAATAAGTATTTGTTGAGCATAAGAGGAAAAACAATCTATATGAATAATTTATTTTGATTTAACTTTATTTTAACAACTGTACTTCACGTAAACTTGTATCCGGATTCTGGAAGAATTTGAGAAAATCGCAAATCATCCTATTTATATCAAAGGTATAAGTTACCTAATAAAGTAAAGCTATATATCTAACAGATTTATACAGTGCCATATTTGTTGAATATTTTTATACTGTTATCAAAATATACTTCTTTGTACATAGATATTACCTTGCTTCTAATTGAAATTTTCGTAGCAATGGAGATTCAATTCTAAATAATATCAAAATTACGGATTACGATGTTGAAAGCTTTTAAATAAAAACGTGCCCAAGTTATTAAGAACAAAAGACATTTCTTAGAAACTCCAGTATAGCTTTTCATTATAATCAAGACCTGAGAGGAAAAGCTTGTAATGATAACCATAAAATACTTATGTAGGTATATTAAATTTCAGAGTATTTTGCAGAAGAAATGTTTTATTGTTTTCATATGAAAATACCTTTTCCAACCTGATAATCTCCGAGAGGTCGTGAGTTTGAATCTGGCCAATATTAAAAAAACATTCAGCGTACATAAAAAATATTCAGATCAATACAAATAATCATACTCGTAAATACAAATGTTTGTACTGGTAGTTTGTAAGAGTTTATTCCGACGATGTGCCAAGACCATCATAAATTAAAAAAAAAAGATATTTTTATTAATTGGTATGGTAAATTATACAATTATACAGTATTTATAATAAACTCTCCCTACTAAAATACGCTAAAATTTTGACCTGATGCTCGTCTTATCATCCACTGTTGCCCCGTCAGCGTAAACCGCTTGCGCAAGCGGAGGTGCCATTCCATTATTATCAATAAAAAAAATCTAGCATACGTCATCGCTTAACAGACCCAATATATTTACGGGTGCGTAACAGGTAATAATTTCCGTGGCATTGGCATTACCGTCGATAATTATCGCAACATGCCGTGCGATCGTGTTCCGGCTTTCGTTCCGAGAAATTAACGTTCTAGAACATTCTATTATGCATTCTAGTATTATGTTTGCAAATAAATTCCCTTTTCTATTACTATGTGATAATTTTAATTTAAAATAATACCAAGTTGTTTGGGGTTTCTTTGTAAGTATGAATATTGTAATATGTCCCTGTAACTAGTATGATTTAATAACAAACATCAAAACATATACATTGAAAATAAGTTTTTACATTTGGTACAATTTTTAATACGTATAAAATAAAACAATGGAAAATAAATACGTTTAGAATTAAAATCCACCATACTTTTTGAACCCTTTTAAAAGTTTATTTCACGGTTTAAACTTTCTAAAGGGTTCAAAATTTATGGTTCCTTTAATACACGCAGTAAGGTTTAAACATCTATAAGTAATTAATAAATACGTATACTATATTATTAAAGCGTTAACCGTCACAATATCTAATTTTTCTGGACTACTTGCGGTTATTGCGTGTGAGAACTCAACGCATAGCGATACTAATGTTGTAGAAAACCGGTTGAATAATGTATGACCGTAATCTGATTGTGCTGAATTCAGCATTTCAGCAGCAATTCACATTAATGAGGATTAAAGGCACCGGAAGAGGCGAGTTATGAAAATGAAACAAGCTCTACAGTTATGTATACAGGGACAGACAATAACACTCTATGGTTTCTATCTATGACGTAAGGAACCTGGCGAAAAGTTTTTGTTTTTCAATAGATGTAAATTATCCGTCGGCACTAGTCGAGGATAATAAGATGACAATGAGGTCCAGTCAGTTAGACAATCATGGCAAATTCACCAGAAATTTATCACGATGATATCCCATGGAGGTCAATGACCATGGTACATTACTAGTAATGGTATCATCCGTACCGTACTAACAATTTCCTTTCCCCCTGGCGAGAAGTTAAAGAAACAAATAAAGAAATAGCCGACACTACGCTATCTATTACCAAAATAAAGAAAGCATATTTTTCAACAAATAAGAGGGCAGATAAAGAAACTTCACTGGATTGGTACACAGTTATATCAAGCAAATCAAGTTCCACCAATATCTGTTTATAAACATACAATCTCTTCAAGCAACATAACTCCGCTACTAAGCCATAAGTCGCGATCTACGCATCATCTGATCAACAAACTTGAATTATATATATGTATTCTATATATTTATCTCTTAATTTTCTTATATAGTTACATGATATAAAAGATTAGCTCCGGTATTCTGAGGGATTACTACTTTTAAAATTACGAAATAGATTTTAGTGCAATTTTCAACAACAGAATTTCAAGAGGAGGATTTATATGTATATATAGTTATAATATATGCTTGGTATAGTGAAAAAAAGAGGTATGAGGTGTAATACACTCGTGAGAAGCTCTGTATAAATCTTCGATCCCTAATTGAATATTTGTTAATATAAGCATTACAAAAAAAAATACGTTACCATAAAAAAAAATCTTTGTTAAGTTGATGATAATTTTCTTTAGTAATATTATTTATATTTCTTATTTTCTAGAATATACAATATATTTTACTTAATATAATTGGGACATTTTCCGGCTAGACAAAACCCTAATCTTGTAAAAAGGTGTTTGAATAATGTATACCCATGATCTGATTGTTCTGAATTTCCTCAAAGCCTATACACGTAAACCAAAATAAATTTTATATATATTTCAGTTATGTTTAAATGTAAAATGAGTTATCATATTTATAGACCAATGTTTACAGACCAATGGGTCCATAATATTTGTTCTATGTTGAAGACCGTCATTTATTGGACAATACAAAATTTATTACAATATCGTTCACATTGTAGACACAACAATGTTTTCATACTATTTCTTTTACAAATATGTTTGATGATGTTATACGTTTTATGTAGTTTTACTGTTATACGGGGCTTCGTATCCTCTTTTATATAAAAGATGGCTCGATCTGTACGTCTCGTTAAAAATCTTTAATTTACTTCTAAAAAGGTAACAAACAGACATGCGGTACAATTTTCGCATTTAGAACATTAGTGTGAATTATATTTATTTTTCATTTCATTGAGATATTATCTTAAATAATGAGATATTTTAATACAATGCTTTTATACTTTAGTATCGTAAGATACAGTTTTAAACTGTATTAATAATGATGATTGAATAATTCTTTTATTATATTTTTTACAATAACAATATATCTGCTAAATTGCTCTCCTAAAGTAGATCTTCTGTTATATACTTATATTCTTATATGCATAATTGTCTAGTTCTAAATAAACTAATAATAATAATAATAATCAGGACAATTCACACAGCTCATCTAGACCCAAGTTAAACTAGCTAAAGCTTGTGCTATGGGTACTACATAACTGATACAAATACATAGATTTTTTTTTCGTAAATTCATACATAATATACATAGAAAACACCCAGACCGATACAAACAATCATACTAATGAATACAAATGTTTGTGCCTTGCGAGGAATCGAACTCGCGACCATCGGACGTAAAGCGGTATGCTAGACAGCTAGACCACCGAGGTCGTCAATAAAATATCATGCAACAATTAAAGTTATATAAAAATAGCATTGAGTCAATTTACTGTATTTCCATTTACTCTTATATTTTTTTTATAATCAGTACAATATCCCAACTTACAGAAAAATAGGTACAAAAATAAAGCTAAATTTATTATAGCATATTCGTAAATAGCAGTAACCCTAGTGAATAACAATTAAATTCACAAAGATATAACAATAAAATTCTTGAAATACGACTATGAAATTCACGGCACTATTTATGTAAAATTACTGTAGCCAAAAAAGTGTTTTGGAATGTACTTTTTCAAATAATTAGAATAGCAAACAATCTAACGGCTCCCTTATGGTAAGTGTCAACTGTCGCCTATATGTCCAAAAAAGTGCCAAACATTTATACTG